GCGTGGCGGTGACGTAACCGCACTTAAAATGCGTACTTCAAGCGTGCAGACCCTGAATTGGGACACAGCCACTGTCGGTAACGTCAGGAGTGGAACATCTGTGACCGCGCGCTTTGTTGCTGCCCGGACCAGACTGCAGACGCACCGTTGCTATTGGTTTCAACGGAAGCTCCAGACGCTCTGCGGCTAAAGGCTAACCATGCTAACGTCAGCAGGGCTGAAACACGGTGAAACGTCACAGCTTATTTCTGATGTTTTCAGCTTCGGCGTGTATTGACGTTGACGTCATCGTCGCGGGGAGCTCGTGCTGTGACCTGATCCCCGATGAGCTAACTGAGGCTAAGAACTAGCAGCGGGATTAGCCAGAGGCTGCGGCTTCAGCAGTCTGAGCAGGAGCTGTTAGCCGCTCGGCCAGCGGAGCTCAGCCCGGGATGAGGCGCTGCAGCCGGTGGGGACGACAGCAGGAGGGCGGCCAAGCTGATGGAGGTAAACCCGGTGAATTTTCCACAGCCGTAATTACCGTTCAAAATAACTTTATTCACATTGAGCAGAGAGACTCGTGGATGTAGTGAATGAGGACATACAGAGGGTTGGTGTGACAGAGGAGGATGTTGATAGAGTCTGATTCACCATCAGCGATGACCCCAGCACTCCCAGCCAATCCAAATTTGGTTTTAAATTAAAGAGCAAGCTGTTCACCTTTCTTCAGAGTATGAGGTACGGGTCACCTGTGAAGACCTCCGAGGTTTCAGGTTCTTCACAGTGTCAGTTTAATCCAATTTCATTTATATTATTAGCACCACAGTAACTGTCACCTCAAAGTACTTTCTACTGTAAGGTAAAGAGCATACAGTAATACTGAGAAAGCCCCAAAGATCTGACAACTCCCTATGAGCAAGCACTTTGGCGACAGTGGGAAGGAAAAACTCTTAACAGGAAGTAACCCCTATTAGAATCAGGCTCAGGGAGGGGCGGGGCCATCTGCCGCGACTGGTTGGGGTGAAAGAAGGAAGACAGGATAAAGACATGCTGTGGAAGAGAGACCGAGATCAATAACAAGTAGAGCAGGGCGATATGGCCAAAAATATTTATCACGATATATATTTGAAAATTTGCGATAACGATATAACCGACGATATAATTGATGCGAGACAAAATACAACTCCACAACATTACTAGCGCAAAAAGACAACCTTCCATTTATTTTCACTTAAACAAGAAGCTGGTTTTTATGTACATTAAAGCTTTATAAAAATGCAACAGTGCAAATGCAAATTCCTTGCTGAAAGTTTAACCAAAAGGCATTTCCAGTAGAAATGGGCTGACATATCCTGAGCATAACCATGTATAATATCCACTGAAGTTAAAAAGAGGTGCTTTGCAACATTAAACTGCAGTGTGCAGTACGCATTTTTCGGACCATAAGGTGCACGGGATTATAAGGCACATTAAGCGAAACAAAGCAGTCAGATAAATCAAACTTTATTAAACTCGTTCTTCTTGCTTCCTCCACTTCTGTACCATTGATTCATTAATGTTGAATTCTCTGGCAGCTGCTCTATTCCCATGTTGTTGCAGTATATTAATGACTAACCTCGTATTGTGGATGGATTATCTCAGTTGTTCTCCTGACTGAAGTTTGGTCCGTTTACAGCATCCTGCCATGCGATTGCATTTGTCTCTAACCATGAGGAACCTTCACGTTAACTTTTATAAGTGGAAAAGTGTTAGTGTTCATCCTCCAGCTTCACTGTTTATGTTATGCTAACATAGCTGTGTCGCTAGCGATCACGTAGCACATCATTATATACCAGCTAGCCCAACTTCAGTAACCCTACAAACATCACTGCTGTTTAGTTTCCTGTCTTCATTTATGTTGGAAGTGATAGCAGAGCTGTACGTTTGATTTTTTTCAGAAATCTCTCAGTCAGAACATGCTATATCATGCTTAGGTAACTAGCGAAACTAGCGAGCTAACTTCCGCTAGCTTCCTGCTAACTTCTAACTCCGTTAAATATAATAACTTTTGTTTTCATGGATGCCTGGAAGTTAAACTTTATAGTTACACCTGGTAAAGCAGCAATGCTGATCGTTTTATTAAAGATGAAAGAATTTAGACAGTTTTTAACTCTCAGTGATGCTGCAGTGTTGTTTGACCTGAAGCAGACGGAGTTTAGGACCCAGATTACTCCCAGATTTAAGAGCATCTTAGTCCGACAAATATGACAATAACGACGGCCGCTTGCATGTTCTGCAAAAAAATGTGCTTTGTTGTGTATCTGACGGACAAACACCAAACCAGTTCCACACCACTTAAGTTGCACCATTTTTACAAACCAATTCTGGTTCATCTGTTTCACTCAACAATCGGCCATGTGCGTATGAAAACAAAGGCACTGCGCATGCGCGTTGTACTCCCATTCTATCGCGATATTTCATTTTCCTATCGTTGCCTAACATTATACCGGTATTACCGTGAACGGTATAATATGGCCCAGCCCTAATAACAAGTATGATTCAATGCACAGAGGTCTGTTAACACAGAGTGAAGAAGAAACACTCAGTGCATCATGGGAATCCCCGACAGCCTACGTCTATTGCAGCATAACTAAGGGAGGATTCAGGGTCACCTGGTCCAGCCCTAACTATATGCTTTAGCAAAAAGGAAAGTTTGAATCTTAAAAGCAGAGCTAGTGTCTGTCTCCTAAATTCAAACTGGAAGCTGGTGATGAGGTCTAACACCTGTCCACACCTGTATGAGTATTTGAGGGCGGGGTCAGAACTCTGAACTCTAATGGTTCACCTGTGCTCTTCTTCAGGTGTGAGGTTATGACGGGGTCAGACTTTGTCCTGAGACGGTCCAATCTGGACCGAGTCGCACTGGTCCTTGGAGCGCCGACGCCATGTCAGACATGTCTGATCCAGCTGTCGTAGAGGGACAGGCTCCTCACTGTTCTGCTCGGCCCCCCCTGGCAGAGAAGGCGCTGTCCGAGGTCTTCGGGCGGCTGCGGTATCGCGACACGTCACTGCTCATCTGGCAGCAGCAGCAGCTGGAAGCAGCACCGCCCTCCACCTACCTGAGCCGCAGCCAATCAGCCTGGTACAGTAACTATGGCAACCAGGCAGTCCTGGTCCGAGACAGGAGGGGTGCGGATGAGGGGCGGTCCCGGATCTGCAGCATCATGTGACGCAGAGCAGTTCAGTTTGGTCACTAACAAACATTTTGTTTTTAATTTAGAGAACTGTCCAATCAGAGAGAAGCATTAAGATCCACGCCCCCGCCCCTCTCTCACCCACTGACTGCAGACAGGAATAAAACGAACAGTATTAATTGTCAGCTTGGCGAGCTCCAGCGTCAGCTCTGCTGACCAGTTTAATGGACTTCCTGCCCTACAGGGGGCGTCCCGTGTCAGTATCTAACCCTAGTGTCCTCCATTTTGATTTGGGGAATGAAGCCAGCAGCACCACACTGAAACCATCACCTTCATCCAGCATGCCACCAAAAGACATGTCCTGATTGAAACCCTTAAGTGACCAATCAGCACGCAGTTACAGCACACTGGTGCTATCTGGGTAAAATCATTGTCACTGAGAGAAATTGAAGGTAACGAGTCTTCAGACGTGTTACTGATTTATGGAAACGACGAATAAAATGTTTTCTTGTTTTAGCTCTGTCATTCTTACTCAGTAAAGACTGTCTGAGAGCGCCCCCTAATGTCAGGCCAGTGAAACTGATATACAAACAAGGCCAAGCACAGTTCCACCAGCACGAGGAAGAAATGTTACTGCAGTAACTCAAAGATTCTGATAAATGTGTTCAGACTGTGATGATGATCTGCTGTAACTCACAAAACCTTTTCTTTCACGTAAGGACTTTGGTGTGGTTCGAAGCAGCAGGAAATGAAACTCCTGAAAAAGTCCAGAATTTGATCCTCCCTTCACATTTTTCCGTTCTGGCCCTCAAGCCTTATATTTGACACCCCAGGATTAAAGAGTGGTATAGGGGGTGGGGCGGGGCTTGTGTGTGTGGCGACTGTTTATTAGTTTAGAATTAGCTGCATGTCGACTCCGGCGTGTCACGAGGGAGCAGCGGGCTCGTCTCAGCCCCGCCCACTCGGTGCAGTCCAGGACAACGTCCAGCGTCACAGCACGCCTCAGGTGGCCCCGAGGACTTCTCTCACTTCGTCCGTTAGAGCGCGCTCGGTGACAAAAGAGTGGAGCCACTTGTTTTCAGTTTATGTGTTTATTTATGAAAACAAATGAACTCAGAAAATAAGGATCCCATATCAGTAATTACATCAAATAATTCACTTGTTTCGTCCCCTCTGCGTCTCTACGAGTGGAGCTCGCTCTAACCTCAGACGGCTACTTTACAGCTACTATACAGCGCTCAAACATACGCGAGAAAAACGTACGGCCGGAGTGCATGCAATACATAAAACCACTGTTTCCTTTTCTTATTAAAATACAAAATTAACTATGAGCGTCGAAGCTCAACCATCAACTAAAAACAAAGAGGAGGGTTACTGTGGCAACGAGCTGTCCGCCTGTCTGTCGCAGGGGGTCCCGATCGAACGCTTTGCCCGGTCCATCGAGTCGTAATGCGCCCGCAAAACAAAACGTGGAGGCTAAAGGAAAGATCCGTGACAACAGATGACGATGCGGTGCCACCCGGAGGTCGTGTGATCACGACGTCAGATTATTCTCCAACACCTGCCATTTACAGGTTTCTTACCAGGTTACCTCCAGGAGGCACCACAGGTAAACTGATCTCCAGCTGGAGGTCGCCAATAATCAGGGGTCAGAGGAGCGAGGGGAGGTGAGGTTTTACTGAACACGCCCCCTGGCTCCAGCCAATCGGAAACCATTTATATCATTGGGCATGTCGATTCAACAGTTTCAGTAAAACTCTACGTCTAATATTCATGATTCATCTTTGTTTGCGCTCTGCAGCTTGTACAACATTCAGAACGCCACCGAGGACGCGGCGGTCAACGTCATGATGAATTTTTCAGAGAAAACAAACTTCCTGTTTGTCGATATTTCCTTTGCCAAGAACCGACACGGCGTCCAGGGATAAGAACAACTATGGCCGCGTCCCAGAGAGCCCAACACCATCGGAGGTGTAACCACAGATCATAGGTCAGAGGGCAACAGGCCTATCCGCCTGACACTGACGTCAGGTGATCAGAAATCTGACGCCACAATGCCCAACGTAAGCCACAAACATCTGCCGAGCGCTTGACAGACAGGTTTTTTCTGAAATCACGAAAATGAGTCGTGACTGCGGTGGGCGTGGCATTTTCCTCAGAAATCGTTTCTTGCGTCCTGATGTCCTCCGAGCGGCAGCGAGCTCTAAAACCTTAAAATAAATTGTCTAAAAAGCTTTAAAAGAAACGAGGTGCTCCGAGTTTGGACCCTGACAGGAGGAGGCGGTACAGTATGAGTGGTTCTTTTTTGGCGGGGTGAGAATGGGGGCGGCGCTTGAACAGGACAGCAATAGAAAGACATTTTATATAGAGAACCTTATAAGACACAAACAAGTTCAGCACACAACCTGAAAATCAAAAACAGGAAATGTAGTGTTAAAAAAAATAAATCAACGTCTCTGTGCTGACAGAGCCGTGCTGGGGGCGGGGTCAGGATCCTGTGACCCCACCCACATTGCCACGATGACCCCAAGGACAAACAGGAAGTTGTGTGTAGGGTTGCAGGACCAGCAGGGGGCAGGGTTGGTCTCAGAGGTTTTTAAGGTGGAGCTGAAAGATCCAGAAGCCGGTTCGATCCAAAGGGTCGATCAGTCAAAAAAATCAGGTTTATTTCCCGCTGAGACGATCCATCAAGAGTCCACTTGGACACTTTTTAAAGCGTTACCTGATGAGGACTCAGCTCCATAGCAGGCGGCATGGGCACGCCCTCTGTTCTATCTGCAGGCACGCAGTTTCCTGTTACGTGTTTTAAAGGGTTTAACGCCAAACTGAACCAACCACCATAAACAAAATCAGGGTTTCGGCCTGGCACCGTCAGTTACCCGTCATAAATACCTCAAAATTTAAATAAAGTTTTGAATTAAAGATACTTTTTGTAACAACCTTCTGCAGAATGTAACTAAACATTCCACCACCAGGGGGCACCATGTCACCACTGACTGAGGTCAGGCCTTGTCCTCTTCGTTTTCACACTGGCACAGGAACGTACTCATACCCGTTTTAAATAAAGTTTACGCTGGTTTCATTTAGTGGCACAAACTGGTATTACACTAAAGTTCTTCCTTTTTCACCTCAGTGACACACTTTTAATTTGAAAAGCTTTTAATTTTAACATTTAAACTGGATTTTACAAAAAGTACCTTTAAACTGCTAAACTGTATTTTCCTGCTGACCCCGCCCACCGCCATACTCCTGCCTGTTTCCCACCTCGCTGGTTTTCTCAATCCCAGTTTAAAGTAGCAGACGGCACATCAGAAGGAGGGGCTAAACGCCTTGCCGCCAGGTTCAGAAGGAGGGGCTAAACGCCTTGCCGCCAGGTTCAGAGAAAAAACGGTTATTTGTAAAACTGTTCTGTGATGTCACACGCTGACATCGTCAGGTCTTCTCTCTGCTGCAGCGCTGCCGACAGCTTCAAATGAAACGTGAGATGCGCTCATTCGTCTCAGTATCCACAAACCTGCTGAGATCACCTGCTCCTCCTCTCCAATGATACTTGTGGAATGTATTCAGAGGTCAGGGGTCACCGCCGGCCGTCCACGAAGAAGAAAAAGACGAAGAAAGAAAGTCTCGACGGTTGCATTTCTGTCCACAGATCAGTAAGACTCCCAGACGGGCTGCCCATCGCTCTACCTGACTCCGCCCACATCCTTCCTCCTCCATCACTTTCTTCTGTCTGCAGTCCTCCAATAGCGGAAAAAATAAAACAAAAAACAAAAGCACTAGGAGCTAAAAAAAAACAAACAGGTCAGCCTATTTACATCCAGTCTCTGTGTGTTTAAACGTGTGTGTAACAAGTTCAGAGTGTGTATCTCTGTCTTTGTGTTTGTTCAGGATGGAGGTGTGTGTGTGTGTGTTCAGTAACACGTGTATGTGTGAACGCGTGTTCAGTCTGTGTCGGAGGATGAGGAGGTTCCTGTCGAGGAGCTGTCATCGGAGGAGGAAGAGGAGCTGCCACTCAAACGACTAGCCCCGCCTCCTGAGGCCCCGCCTCCAGCTGCCTTCTCTGAAAAGAGAAATAAAGGAAGACGAGTCAATGAGACAGTCCCGGCCAGGTGACACCGTTTCTGTTGGCGCTCGATGATTGTTGCCTAGACAACACGGCTCAGTCGCCCAAGTCCAACGCTCACACATCGACGGCCGTGCTTTTGAGGCGGTACTTACGCAGTAGCTTCCTCTGCTTCTTCTGCAGGCAGGACTTGACGTAGCGCTCGAGCTCTCGGAGCGTGGAGGGTTTGAGCGTCTCGAAGTCGATCTCGATCTCGTCGGGGTTGGAGTCCCTCAGCGACGGCTCTCTGGTCTGGATGATGTGCACGACACGGCCCAGCTTCTCTCCCGGCAGCCGGTTGATGTCCAGACTCAGCTGCCGCTTCTCATCGTACGACATCGGCAGCGACGACTCCTCGCCATCGTCCCCGTTGGCTGAGCCGCTGCCCGACGTCTTGCTGCCTTTCTTGGGTTGCCTGGAAACACAGTCACTGCGGTCACTACATTGTCCCTTTTCTCAGGTGGATTTGCTGAACACTGAGTCGTACCTGGTGGCTGTCACCGTGCTGTTGGCTTTTCTGGCTGGCGCCTTCTTCTGATTGGCCGGTTTGGGCTGCTGGGCGGCGGCCTTTGGCTTCTTCTCTTCCTCCATCTTGCCTTTATTTCCCTTGTCTTTCTCCTTCTCTTTCTTCTTCTCCTTGTCTTTCTTCTCTTTCTTCTTCTTTGGCTTGCTGACCGGCGCCTGGGACAGGACCGCCAGCTGCTCGTGCACCGCCTTCAACTGATGGAATAAACTGATTATCAATACCCGTCATCTGTGATCAATACACGGCCACGCCTTCACGGGGTGAGTCACAGGAGCCATGGATATTTCAAACATGAATGTCAAGTAAACAAATCGTGAAATCTAAAATGATAAAAAGAAGAAAACCAAGATGTTCTTGACCTGTGATTGGTCGGCAGCACCAACCTGCTCCTGTAGCTCAGCCAATCGCGTGGCCCGCTCCTCCTCAGAGTCGGACGATTCGTCAGAGGAGGAGTTGTTGCTGCTGTCGGAGGAGGCGGTGCTTTTGCTGACCACCGGTGTCGTGGTGGGGACCGACGCCTCCAGGCCCTCGTCAGGGATTTTAGCGAAACGCATTTCAAACACGTCCTAATGGCAGACGGGTTATCAATACCTGATCGCAGCGATTGATCGAGCAGGAAACGGAGGCTTTACGTACCTGCAGCTTGCGGGCCATGGCCACCACCTCGTGGTCTGGGGGGTTGTACTTGTAGCAGTTGGAGAACATTAACCTGACGTCAGTGGCGAAGCTCTGAGGGTCGCTGTACTCGCCTTTATCCATTTTTTTCTGTCAGGAAACAAAAGAACGTCAGAGATGGCGCCAAACCTCCCATTTGGACATCTGAAGGTGCGGAGTACAGACACCCAGCGGCGTTAAAAGTAGGGGTGCAACGATATTCGCATTGATATTGAACCGTTCGATACAGTGCTTTCAGTTCGGTACGCATATGTATCGAACAATACAAAATCTTTAATTTATTTGATCAACTTTCCTTCTGACGATGCTGTCTGTGTTGAGCGCTCAGTGGATCTGCGCTCGACAGTGCAGCCTAGGCGGAGTAGTCGAACGCAGATTCACTGAGCGCAGGGCAAGCTGGCAGACAGAAGTTAAGCTCTGCTTGCAACAAGCAAACTGAACCTCCCCCACCCTCATTCAGATCTGGCGTTTGGAATTATTTTGGTTTTCATGTGACGTATGACCCTGAAGGTAAGCGCGTCATGGACTAAAGTAAAACAGTATGTTGGATGTGCCACGCAATGCT